GCACTGAATAGCTTTCTGGTCTTTGAATAATGTCCGCGAGTTCACTACCAACAATGCCGGTGTAGGTGAGTCCGGGTCTGCTACGCACCATCGCACCTAATCTAGCATCAACACCCACTCTAGCAACATCATTGCTCATCATATGCGTTTTACTCGCCCGGACCTCCAAATTTTGCTCAATTTTCCACTCGGTAGCAGGTAGGTAGGTAGGAGAAGGTATCAGCAAAGCATTAAAAGGTCATAAGACGTGATAAAATCACCATGAGAGTATTTCCTAGTCCTGTAGGGAAAAATTCCATATAATGCAAAAACCATCCCCCACAAAACCCGAACCCTAGCCTCTCGCCCATGAAGCGTCACGCTTACCACTACACCAAGCTACCGTTGAGGGCTGAACTGCTTCCATGTAATTTAAGTTTTCTCATGTAATGTCACCTAAAACCACCCTCATAACTCCGTTCAGAGAAATCGCTTGGCAGATTTGGAAAGCGAATTTGAATTCAGCGCCCAAAAACACGTCTAGCAGTATAGGTCTTATTTCAAATGGCCACTTCGAGTTGGGATCCTTCCCTGGTAAGGTCAAGTACCCTACCACTCAATAAGCCCCATTTGTGAGAATTGGTTATCAACATCTTCCAAGTACTATTTTGGCAATGACAAATGCATGGCGCATCTCGAGCACAGGAAAGCGGAATAAAAATTCCTACACCTCGAACTGCACCAGCTAATCAATCAACAAAAATCAATACTTTCATAGAGTATACGGTAGGATGTTAGTGAATAAATCAATCGATATGATCAATATGCGATAATTTACCACAAATACGGCTAATACATAATGAAATATTAGCATTTCATGCGTAAACATGATCGAATATGAATTAGAAAACTAACCAATAAATTCTATATAAAATGATTTTTAAAACTGTCTGAATAATCAATATTTACTAAATAGTAGTGAGATGATCGATATAAATGAACGAGTAATCAATATATTTATATTATTTACCGTAAATAAATAGGTGTCGGATGAAAGCTCGTCAAAAATCAATACGGATGAAGTTAAAAGCGGAAAGATCGATTAAAACCAGTTGTTGACTAAAAAGCAACTAATGTTGACAGAAGCATTCTCGGGATCGACTAACTCTTGAGCTCATGTTACCATGGAATTATATTTATTTGCATTGTAATAATACGTAGTTGATAAAATTTATTCAAAAAACGTCAGGAGACTGTGCAAAAGGAGGACGAGGTTGCCAGAATCGATCAATCTCTGCTAAGATTGCGCTTTGCACAAGGCATTGGCTCAAAATCGCTAAGTTGGTTGAAAGGGTACTTGTTTGGTGCAATGATTGATTAAAGCAGTGCGAAACCTAGTATTTTTGAATCGATTTTGTCATTGTAGCCATAGATGGACGGGGTATCATATGAAAGGCTGAAGGTCGGGTTATCCGAGACAAGTGGAAATCAGTGTAACATTTCTGGGTGACCTAAAAACGGTGTAGGGCTGTCATGGAGACTGATCGCTAGAGGAGTTTGACGGAACAGGTTTTACCCATGATTTACACTGGCTATTTTGCCCTTCCTAAATCATTATTGTCAAAGGTTCAAGGCCTTATTAGGTCAATAAAGACAACAACTTGACTGTTGCCAATCTCCTATGGTGCTTGATAATTACTGGTGGGCAGGAGATACGGCTATGGTAGGTTTTGATGAGTTGAGCCATCGATCCACTACGTATTTAGACGCATAGAGAGCCTTTTTAGGGAGAAAAGATAGTAATTCAATAGGAAAGGCGAAAAAAGTCAGATGGAAAGGTGCTGAACAAAGGCCAATGTGTTACTGATTATAATCAGGAACTGATTCCATCATTTGTTTGCTGTTGAATAGTTTTTGTCGATGCTGGCTGATGGGTTCATTACGTCCCAGGTGTGAATACTGATAAGGGCTGATACATGTGAGTGAATACATATATTATCAGGAAACAGAGAGATAGCGCGTAGGCAGGTCAATTGAATGTCGGGGAGTCGGCGGGGACAGGGGATGGTCATGTTTGCTTTGCACTGTAGGAACGGGCCATTATTTCACTTTCAAAAACTGCAGAAACGAGCAAATAGATAGGGGGAGGATGTTGAGAGCTGAATGAAAGGGAACGGGCTTGTATTTTTGACCGGTAACTTTCCTTGACATACGGTTTCCTAGTATCTATGGGATCTCAGTAATGTAAAGGATGAGTTCAAGACCAGAATTGGTAGATGTGGGTTCGGATCCTGACAGAGGCCGGCATTTCTCTCGTAGTTAGACAGCTTGTTCTCTAATTTCTACCGAGAACTTTGGCGATAACTAGTAATTGATAGAACAGAACAAACCAGACGCTCAGATGGCATAAAAAATTGAAATGATAATTAAATTACGATTTTGCTCATTTTCATGTGGACAGGGACCGATATAGGGCTTCAGGTGAGCAAAGGGTATTGCACAATGCAGTTTCCAGGTCAGTGAGTCCACCTATGGGACACACACCTTCAGATCCCCTATTCTGTTGGGAAGCTGTGACTCTCGTCCGATGCGAGTTTACTGATAACTGTTGAAAATCCGATTGCCTGAGAACTACTGAATTAGAAAAACATCAACAAATGAGTAGGAATAATTGAGCAGAAAAGGAAATTGCATAAAATGACTGGGTTATTTCGTTGTGGCTATACAAAGCTCAAGTTGTGAAGGAACAAGAAGGCTACGCTGTTATAGCTTTTTTCTTTCTGAGAGCGCCATGCATTTGACCTGTATCTAAAATCGTAGTTGGGTTTGGATGCATTCTTGCTCTTCAGCTACTTACAGATCATAACCCATGAATATGTCTACGTTTTTATTGGATTATATCATTCTGATAGAGTAAATTACTGTAGAGAAGTATAAGACGACTAGAAGAAGCGGAGTTTGGTCTGGTATCCACCCATACGGATCCCAAATGAAATAATTAGCGGAGCTATCTGTCACTGCTGGTCCTTCGCTATCATGGTAGCTTGGAATCAAATCAAATGAAAAAGTGAATTCAGCCTGAATGGGCACTGTTACCACTGTCATGGTCCTGATGGGGTTTCCTCACGCTATAAACAACTATGGGACTGGGTGTGGGAATTACAGAATAATTTCTCAGGGTGTGTGTTCGAGGTGTTGAGTGCTTACGTGAAGAAAAGAATCAGCTCGTGATTTCAACGCTAGTCTGATTCACCCGTTTTCCATTGTCATAATCGGTCGGGAGGGGGTTTACGACGTCGGCCCATCTCTTATCACAACTGCAAAACTGCAGAAACGAGCAAATAGATAGGGGGAGGATGTTGAGAGGTGAATGAAAGGGAACGGGGTTGTACTTTTGGCTGGTAACTTTCCTTGACGTACGATTTCCCAGTACCTATGGGGCCGCAGTAATCTGATGGATGAGTTCAAGACCAGAAATGATAGATACGAGTTCGAGTTCCGACCGAGAAAGATACTCTGCTCATGGTTTGGCATTCTAGTCTTCAACAGTTCTTTCGCGACTTCGGCGATGATCAGTTTCTGGCAAGACAAATTAAACGAGAAACCAATCTGCCATAAAAAAGCGTAATGATAATTAAATTACGATTTTGCTCAGTCTAATGTGGACTGTGATAGATAGAGAGCATTAGCTGGGAGGAAGGGATCTCACAAAGCAGTTACTAGGTGAGCGGAATCTGTTTGTGGGCGAATTGAGTCCCAGACGCCGCTACCATGCTGAAAAGATAGGTGCCCCACCGAGGCGAGCTTACTGATCATCAATGAAACCCCCAATGGCCGGAGAACTACCAAACAGGAAACAAACATCATCAAATGAGTGAGGGTAACTGAGCAAAATACAAAGGACGACAGGCTCCTTATCGTGGCTGTTCAAAATGATTGCCTGGGAGAGATAAGAACGCTCGCTTCTGTAGGTTTTTTCTTGGGAATGCGCCATACATCTGACTCTTATGTGGGGTCGTACTTGGGTTTGGATGCACTCTTGCCCATTGCAGCTACTGCAGATCTTAATCTATGAATACATCGCTGTTTTTGTTTGATATTATATAGTTCTGGTAGAGTGAATCACTGTAGAGAAGAAAAGACGGCTAGCAGAACCAGAGTTGAGTCTTGGTATTCACCCATATGGACCCCAAATGAAATAATTAGCGGAGCTCTCCGTCACTGCTACTCCTTCGCTGTCATGGTATCGTGGAATCGAACCATATGGAAAAGTGAATTCAGGCTGAATGAGTTCTGTTAGTTACCAATGTCACGATCTTCACGGAATTTCCTCAAGCTAAAAACAACTATGGGACTGGGAGTGGGAAATGCAGAGTAATTTCTCAGGGAGTGTTGTGGGCTTGCCTGAAGAGAAGAATCAGCTCGTGATTTCAACGTTACTTGAGTCACCCTTTTTCCATTGTCATAATCGGTCGGGGAGGGGGTTTACTACGTCTGCCCATTTCTAATCACTAAGGGACTCGTGATCGAGTTTTGAAGCGGGGGAGGGGAAGGGAGTACAGTATCAGGCAGTGTAAGACAGGGGCAGACATACCCGCGGAACAGACCGCAGCATTCTCACGGTTGACTCCGCTTCCCAATCGGAACCATTAGTTCAGCGGAGTATAGAGGGTGCCACTTCTGCACGTAAAGTTGGATCGAAGATCAGATTGGACTTCGCCCTAGCCAAGAGGTATCTTCAACTAACATGTGGGTACGGGAGCTGCTTGGGCAGGGGAAACGATCAATGAAGAGGAAGGTAGAATTCTTCAGAAGTGCCTTTCAAACTGGACTGCATATTCCATGGTTTTCGTGTGAACGTTGACGGAAAAGTGCAGAGAAAGGTAGTCGTTCAGTAAACTGGTCATGGGGTTCCCAGGCCTCTTGAATTTTCTTTTCTGGGCTCAACAACTCGCATACCCCTCTGTGAACATTTTCACGGAAGCTGTTCTAATCAGATATTGCATTTCTGGGGTTCTTCAGGAAATCGATGGCGCTCCTGCCACCGAGCGTTGCCACCCAGACTAGCGCTATCGACCCAAGTTGACCACCGAGGCTACCCTTTGGGATGGACTTCTGAGAATTTGATTTCGAAGTCTTGTGGAAAGCTTATGGCTCCATCAACTCAAATAGGGTCTGGCTAGGTGAACCCAGGTATAGGATAGGTTCCCATGGGTCGATCCGTTCAGT